GTTGTTTCTGTTGTACATAGGGTCGTTGTGAGTCAGAACCAACTAGATGACACCTAACAACAACAGTAACAATTTACAACAAAGAGGCAATAGCTTACTAAGTTAAGGAATTAAAACAGTTTTCCATTTTTTGTGCCAGAAAACATAGACTCCAAAGTTTTCTTATTGCATAGGTACTCCACTAAAAGAAACAACCAGGAAAGTTGCCATTTAGTTTAAGGCTTGGGCTTGGGTGAAGTCTGTAGGGAAGCTGCCTATCCCTTTGTCATTTCATAGCCTTTCATCTTAAAAATATATATGTTAATATATTTATTCACAATTGTTCTTAAAATAGGATGAGCTCCATTTGGGACATGAAGTGAATGAGTTTTTTGTTTGTTTGCTTGATTTGTTTTGTTGTAGTAATATATATATAACAAAACATTTGCTATTTCAACATTCTTCACATGTACAATTCAGTGACGTTAGTTGTATAATGATGATGGTTGCACAACATGACAAACACAATTAATATCCATTCATTTTCCTTCTTGCAAAGCTCAAGTTGTGATTCTTCCAAAACCCTTACCAGGATTCACTTTCTCTCACTCCTTCATTATCTACTTATTTTCTCTTCAAGGTCAATGGTTTCCAAATTCTTAAGACATACAAATAATACTATGAATTCCTTTTGTTAAATGTTCCTTCTGGCATTGTTATTTCTCTGAAGAAAGGAGAAATTATACAATAATTTAGAAAATGTCCCAATTTACAATGGCCTCTCATGCAGAAGTCTATTATCTCCTACACATTAAAGAGAATACGGAAGTTGCAAGAAAAAAACTTGGGTTCATTTATTTCTGAAAACTACCTGAAATTGTTTAATACAAGGTAGAGACTGGCAGCTCAGATCATGGCGCAGGATACAAACCTCAGAAAACAGAAGACCAAAAACCATTTAGCTAAATTCATCATCTGATAACTGTTCATTTTTTTCCTCAGTTTTCTTCACTCATCATTATCAGCATCCTCAAACATTTAAATCCGCCTTCCATATGCATGTGTGAAGAGCAGACTTGTTATATTCCATACTAATGTATTATAACACTGCTAATACTGAACATTATGATGTCTTTTCTGTAAAATACCTTCCTCTAAGGGATTCGTAACAATTTTTTACAAAACCAATTCATATGAGTATCAACAACTAATGTAACAAGGATGAAAGAGATGCTTTTTCTTTTCCCATTAACAATAGGAAGAGACTTGAGTATAGAGGAGTGAAATGATTTATATAAGACTCTATACTTTCTGGTAACAGAATGGGGAGGAGATGACAGGCCTGAATAAGAACAGGTCTTGTTGTAATAAAACAATCGAAAGAACAAAACAAACCCCAGTCCTGTGAGGACGTTTGTGTCACAGTACCGTTTAATCCGCAAGTTGGCTCCTTTATCTGTGGAACTCTCTGCCTCTGCATCTTATAAATGATGTGTGGGTGGTACTGTCCCTCAGCCACTGGATGATTTTTAACAGGTTCAATGAAGAAGTCTCCATGTGGTAGCTGGAAAAATCCAGTCTGAAAATACATTCAAGAAGATTTATTTGAATCACCTTTTTATCTATGCAAAGAAAATTCATAACAAAGTTTTATATAGCACTTTATTAATACATCTATT